ATACACAATTAATCGCAAGTGAAGATAATTACAACGTTGAAGTGAATGTTTTATTTTGTAGTATTCTGAAATGACTTTCGAAGGAAGCTGTATTTCTGCGCGTTTCAAAAGTAATTTTGTACATTTTAATCGATTGCATCTATTTATCAATACTTGAGGGAGTAAGAGACAAAATTTGAATTATTTCTACTCATTAATGAGCTGGACCTGGCATTCTTCGTCCATACCACACAGGTACCATGACATATCGGCTTGTGCCTGGAATGTGTGGTGCCATCGAACGTGGAACCAGCTTTACTCCTATCCTTTCTTGAGTTAATCGTCTTACTCGACTAAAAGAGAGACTCATGAAGAAATGACATTCAAGCTTTTTTTAAAGAAAGAAGCCTTACACGTGATTTTCCTCAGCAACGTTCACTGTTGCAGCTGGTGATAAAAGGAGAGCTAACGCAAAAGATAAAAGAAGTAGAATGTTATACATTTTCGTTTTATAGCCCTGCCCAGGCTTTAAATATGGGAGATGTTTCATCAAATCCACCATATTGCTCAGTGTAAAAGGGAAGAGAACTTGCTAAGGATGAATACGCTCGTTTTTCCATTGTAAAAGACGCACAAGTCGTGTTGTATGTCAGAGAATAACAAAAAGAAGAGTTTGATATGAATGTTAAGTCGAAATTCGCTTAACGCAGATGTGTCAGCCATTCACCTTAAATGTAAAAATTTATGAAGTTTGCCGAAGCCATTTAAGAACACATACCGTGGTTCGAGGATAAAAGGGCATGGAAAGTGGAAGAAGAATTTTTTTGACGATAATTAAGATGTTGAATCAAACTCAGTTACAGTTATGACTAGTGCTAGTTCTAGAAGTTGAGAATAGCAACATGCTTAATCAGTGAATGACCTGAGTGTTTAATAGACAGTCTCTTGCTCAATCAAAAATTATTTTATACAAGGGGTCTTGATTAGCATACTACTAGCGTTGCTTCAAAGGAGGTAAAAGAGTTTGTAGCGCTACAGTAATGCTGGAGACGCAATGAGGCCCTGATTTTTTTAGCTTAAACAGTTTTGCGATAAAAGCCTTCTCGAAATATAATTGCTGTTGAGCAGTTTCCTTGCGATTAGATGTACGTGTGACTGCGATAGTGGCATGTGGGCATACATCCCACAAATATACCCTAAGCAATGTCTGGACGTCGCAGTTCCATTTTCCTTACTGTTTAGAGCCGGTTTGCTCAGACTGTGGGATGTTCGGTTAAGTGTTCAACATTTATTACTGGAAAAGGTTCTCATTGGAGACTAGATGAATTTGTGCTAAACCAAATCTAAGATGTTGTCAAATGTGATTACAGTATTTGCTGAACATTGTTTTCTTCTATTTGAAAGTTTCTTCTAGAGATCTTAATTTTCTTTACCATGGTATCTCCGTACTGATGTCTGACGCTAAAATAATGTGCAGTAGTTCAGGTCATAAGCTAGTAGTGGGCTACCTATCGCTGTTTGCTACTGTGCAGCACCACATTCGCGACATAAAACCGAATCAGGCTGTTGGTGATTCCCTCACTGTTTCTAAATATAACCCCTCTTGTCTACTCAAAGATTTGGTATTTTCAAAACCTCGGCAACCCAAGCTTCAAAACCTTAATAATTGTTACTTCCCATCTCAGTTACTTGTCGGGTACCATAACTTAATAACGAATTAATCTTCGAATATCAAGATTTTTACGGGATCGTGATGCTGTAATGCCTGTAGGTGCGAATTCTTAAATTAAATAGTCATTAACTGGACCTCACTATTGGATACAACCAGTGTCTCTTAAACAAGCTTTATCTGGAAAAACGTCACATACAGTGGATAAAAGCGTTAGGGGATTGAATGCTATTGCTACAATCATAGGAGATAATAAGAAAAGCAATTAAAGAAATAAAAGAAATTCATTGCCCGAGGCTCCACCCGGATCCTCCCGGCAGGCTCGTCTTTTCCTCTCTCCTCCTCCTTCTAGTTTTATATGTCGTCAGAGCAATCATTCAAAGGTCATT